TACGGGACGCGTATGATTTGTTCATTTCGTCATGCGATTTATTGCAACATAATACTGTGGTCAACGGTCTTGGTCGTATTCTTGATTTAGTGCTCTCAAAATCAGAACAACTTCTTCTCAACGTCACGGAGTCGAAGATAGGCCTGGTTGCACACGAGGTCCATCATGTGCCACTAGATATAGCAGTCACTATGAACAAATTTCCATGTATGGAATCGGGCAAACACATACAAAATAACGACGGGAACACGCTTCATTTTGAGAGACCTTTTAGAAATTTAAAAAAGCAAACTTTTTAGATCTATACACATTGACATTGATTGTGATGTTCTACTAAGGAAATTAACACTTACCGGTTTCTCAAAAAACCTAACCGCATTTTTCGCGGACTACTTGGCAAACCGTCACCAATATGTATATTACAATAGATGCTTATCTCTACCTTCTCAAGTAAACTCTGGAGGTCAAGGTAGATGCCTTGGACCACTCCTGTTTATAATAATAATAAATGATTTGCCACTGACTATCCACCACAGCGAGTGTCTCATGTTCGCAGATGACGTTAAATTGGCCAGGACGATTAAGTCTGATGCAGATTCCCGCAAGTGTCTCCGTTTCGTCTTAAGACAATCAAAGTCGTTAAAAACCAACCTCACGTCGTGTCTTTTGTGTAACTCTGATGCAGATTGTGCAAAGGGACATTGATAATGTGAAAAGGGGGGAAGGGATAATAGTTTACAGTTGAATGTTGAGAAATGTACAGTTGTGTCTTTTTCTCGTGCTCGCAAACAGGTAACTAGTAATTATAAAATAAATGGTACTTGGATTAGTTGAGCTAAATCAGTCAAAGACTTAGGCACATGGTTCGACACTGAGCCTGAGCCGAGGTTCACTTTCCGAGAATATATCACCAAAATTTGTAAATCTTCCCGCAAGTGTCTCCGTTTCGTCTTAAGACAATCAAAGTCGTTAAAAACCAACCTCACGTCGTGTCTTTTGTATAACTCTTTTGTTCGAAGCAAACTGGAATGTAACGCTATCATTTGGAACCCCGTCCATAACAACCACACACAAACATTATAGAGAAAATTCAGAAGACATTTGCTCGAAACTTATACAAGAAGATGTACGGATATTACCCCGTCCTATATCCCACAGCATGTATTATAGATTAGATAGATAGATAGATAGATAGATAGATAGACAGATAGACGGACAGACGGACAGACGGCCAGACGGTCGGACGGGCGGACGGGCGGACGGGCGGACGGGCGGACGGGCGGACGG